TGCCACGGTGAAAATTTGAATAATTCGCTCTAACTTAAAAGGATAAATATATTTTACGAAAAGGAAAAAAGCCGAATAGTTTCTACATTTATTCAGCTTTCAGAAAATGCATACTTTGTTAAGGTTTCGATTAAAAGGTTTTGTGCTATTAGGAGTTGAATGCACAATGGTCGCTAGGGGTACCCTGATACCTTAAGCTTGGTCCGAAATAAACTTAGATTTTATGAAAAGTAGGATGGGATTTTAAAGTTTTTATAAATTAAAGATTATAAAACATTTACTACTTTTCTGAAAATCCAGTTTAGGTTTTCCAGCACCTCCTGAACAAATACCATACAAAAATCACATAAAATCCTAGCCCGCTACAATGGATGCATCAAAGATCATGGTATTTGTCAGTGCAGTCATGAACTATGCAAGTCATGGACACTTGGACCTTCGCAGCCAAGACCTACTCGACCTCTATCAAGAATGCCTTTTCATGGCTCAATCCTTTGGTGACATCTCTAGTGCCATTCAGTTATACTTGCTGCTTGGCTTATTGAATGAAGAAATGAAAAATGCTAAAGAATCGTTAATATATTACAAAGGTTTTCTAAATGCTGCAGAGGAACTAGGTGATGAATCACTTAAGCAAAAGGCGTACACCCGGTTAGGAATTACATATCAGAGGCTAGAAATATATGACGAAGCTATCAAGTGTTTTCAGAAGTGCTTAGACATTGCCATGGCAACAGGAGACAAAAACGAGGTGAGGTTTTTCTACAAAAAATTAGGAAGCCTCTACGAGAAAACACACCAGTTCCAGCAAGCTATATCTTGCCATGAAAAATTCCTAGAAGCTGCATCAGAACCGAATTCTAAAAAGGAGGAACTAAGCGCTAATGCAAAGTTAGGCATTTTACATTTTCATCTGGGGCAATACCTCAAGTCAGTGGGATATTCCAAAAAAGCTGTTAAAATTGCTAAAGGCTTAGGTGAGAGAAAAGAAGAAGGAGACGCTTATGGAAACCTAGGAAACGCTTACCAGAAGTTAGGCAAGTACGAAGAAGCAGTCCAGTGTTTTGAAAAGTACTTGGGGTTTGCAAAGGAAGTAGGTAAGAAGGAAGTARAAAGAATRATATACTGGAACTTAGGATGTGCATTCAAAAAGCTATCAAAGTACGAAGATGCCATTGCTAATCTTGAAGAATTCCTCAAGATGTCTATTAGTATGGGTGACAAGAAAGGAGAGATGATGGCATATGGTAACTTAGCAAACCCTTACGAAAAGTTAGGCAAATATGATAAGCTGATYGAAGTYTCAGAAAAAAGTTTAAAGATTGCACAAGCAATRAAAAACAAAGAGGGAGAAGCAGTGGCTTGTCTGCATTTGGGAGTTGCCTACCARACATTAGGGGAGCTCCATAAAGCCACCRAATTTCATGAAAAGAGTYTAAAGTTTGCCCAAGAAATTGGTRACAAGAAGATCGAGAGCCAKGCCCATACAAACTTGGGGAAYRCCAATCGAATGTTAAGAGAGCAAAACAAGGCCACCACGCATTATGAGGAAAGCATGAGGCTTAGCAGAGAGTTGAAAGATAGAGAAGGAGAGATTGATTCCTTTTTGAATCTAGGAGTTCTCTACGCAGGGTCAGGGAGGTACCAAGAAGCCATGACATGTTACCAAAAGAGCCTTGATATCTCTATGGAAACAGGAAGCAAGCATGGAGAAGGAACAGCCTATGTGAACATGGGAAGTGTTTGCTCAACATTAGGCAAGTACCATGAGGCATATGTTTACTTTGAAAAGGCTCTTGCTGCCTTCAAAGATGTAGGATACAGGAAACGAGAGGGGGAAGTGTACAGAATCCTTGGGAATTTTTACGCAAATTTAGGAATGTACAAGAAATCTCTCGAAAATTACCAAAACAGTTTCGATATTGCTAAAGAGACTGGAGATAAAATGGGTCGAGAAAGTGCTTTGGGCAACATGGCGTCTGCCCATCAGAAACTAAATAACTTCTCCGAGGCCTTGGAGAAGTACGAAGAGTGTCTGGAGATTGCTCAAAATATCGGCGATAAGATCGGAGAAGGAAGGACATTTGCTAACATTGGGAGTCTTCACCAGTCGCAATGTGAATATGACAAGGCCCTTGACTTCTATACGAAGAGTCTTAAAATTGCCCAAGAAATTGGTGACAAAAAATCCCTTGCAAATGCATATGGAAACCTAGGAGGCCTTTTTGTTTTGTTGGAAAAATACGACGAAGCAATTGAATCTGGTGAAAGGAGCTTGCGCATTGTTGAAGACACAGGAGAGAGAAGGATCGAAGGAAAGGCTTACAATAACCTTGGTTCAGCTTACCACCACATAAGTAGCGATACGAATAAAGATGCAAACACCCGTCAACAAGCAAAAGAAAAGGAGATCTTCTACTTGCAAGAGGCTTTGAAGATCTGGGAATGGTTGTACGGCCATCTAGGGGACAAGGATGAATTCAAGATATCCATCGTTGATACGTATATCATCACCTACAAAATGCTTACAGCAGTGCTGATTGAAAACCAGGAAATAGAAGAAGCTCTTCTGGTTTGTGATAGAGGAAGAGCTCGTGCCCTAGGTGATCTTTTGTACTCCAAGTACAGTATGAACAATGAAGATGGCTCTGAGAACGCATCCCACCTGGAAAAGACGGACATAGAAAACGTTTGCTCTGCAAATGTTTCCATTGTGTCATTTTCTTTCAATAAGGGCATTGTAGCATGGGTCTTAGAGCAGCAAAAGGCGTTACATTTCACTGAATGTGATAGTAAAATGTTGATTACTCATGCTGAAGGTAATATCTCGCAAAAGAGTGGAAAAATCGAGGACAAAGATCTTCAGAAGATTCTATACCAGATTATCAACAGAGCGTATGAGAGGATGGAAATCGATGAGGAAGAGGAAGACAAATCTATGGAATCACTCAGTGGCAATACCAACAACTTGAATGTTAATAGTGCTGCTAAGGAATCGTTGCTTGGGTCTTCAGATAATGAAGCTCTGACTCACATGGATGGCGAAAAGGCAACAACCGAGAGTCATCAATACCCGGGTCCAAAAGACAGCGACTATATATTCAACGTCTCTGACGGTTCTTGTGATGTCCATCAATCGTTATCCGGGTCTTCAGATAATGAAGTTCTGACTCACATGGATGGTGAAAAGGCAACAACCGAGAGTCATCAATACCCGGGTCCAAAAGACAGCGACCATATCTTCAACGTCTCTGACGGTTCTTGTGATGTCCATCAATCGTTATCCGGGTCTTTGGATAAAGAAGCTCTGACTCACATGGATGGTGAAAAGGCAAAAAGCGAAAATCATCAACCCCCAGGTCCAAAAGACAGCGACCATATCTTCAACGTCTCTGTCGGTTCTTGTAATGTACAGCCATCGTTGCCCGGGTTTTCAGATAAGGACGCTTTTACTCGTATAGATTTTGAAAAGGGAGTAAACGAACGTCAGCTACACCCGGGTACACTTAACAGGGATCACGATGCCACCTATTATGGATCCAGTGATGTCGAGCCATCGTTGCCTGGGTCTTCATTTGAAAGAGCCATCACTCGTGGTGATCATCAAGGAACGTCAAGTGATACAAACATGGATCCTCTAAAGTTGCTGTACACAGCATTGATTGCTCCAGTGATTCAAAACCTCCAAGAAGAAGAAGAGATCGTCATCATTCCGGAGGGGCCTTTGTATAAGATACCATTTGCAGCTCTGATTGATCCAAATACAGAGAAATATTTGTCTGAAACAAAGCGTATTCGTATCTCACCATCATTATCATCTTTAAGAACATGGAAAGACAGTGCAAGAGACAAGTACCTTAACATAGATGCTATGGTTGTTGGAGATCCCGAAGTTGAGGACGTTGTATTTAAAAATGAGAACAAAACATTCGATCGCCTTCCATCGGCTAAAATCGAGGCTGATGTTATTGCAGCCATGCTCAATGCCAAGCCTTTGATTGGAGCACAAGCAACCAAAGAAATGGTCATTAAGAAATTACGAGAAGGTGCTGCTGTCATTCATATTGCAGCACATGGAGACTCCGAACATGGACACATAGTCCTTGCCCCTTCACCAAGAACAGATGCAACAGGTATCCCAGGCGAACAAGACTACATGTTAACAATGCAGGAGGTACAAGAGATTGGTGTTACAGCACAACTTGTTGTCCTAAGCTGCTGTTACAGTGGTCGTGGGGACATCAGGGCAGAGGGAGT